AAAAAAAAAATTAAAAAAAAAAAAAAGTAAAGCCCAGGAGGTAAAATAGCAGCATTTACTTGAATGTTTTTATTTTATTCAAATTTTTTTCTGTCCAGCTCTCAGACAGAAGTTTAAAACATTAATACATGGTCAAATTTATATTAATATTTATATTAACAGATAAAAACTAAAATCTATACATTTACTGACAAATAAAGGAAGCATATGATGTACAGTAAGGTGTCAATGAACTAGAGCCCAATTAGATCCTAAAATTATCAAAAGTGTTTAGGTTTTCCTCCTTCCCATTACCCACAAACACATACTTATACACACATACACAGAAACGGGAAAAAACAACCCAACTCAAGAAAATAAGATCTTACTACCAGAAGCAAGCTAAATCACAAATCAGTGTATATACTCTCCAGTCTCTCATACAACAATGTCCAATGAGAATATTCAGAGTTTCCAAGACACTGCAAGATCCCCAACAAAACCCTCAGTTGTGATTAAAACATTATACTTAGCAACAAGACAGTCACAATTACAACGATTTGCAAGGACCTCAATAAGGTCAAACTTCAATTAGCCAGAACACACAACAGCCAAAGTAAATTAAATTCCTCAATCTGTTCTTTGAGCATTCCAATCAAGAGTTCTTTCATGCTTTTAATGCCCTAATTTTTGGACAATGAAGGAGGAAAGCTACTGAACAGATGGGTTAGGAGTCTGTTTATTCAAATATACTCCAAAGGTAGATTTGCTTTTTAAAAAATCACATTCTATCAAATGGCAGGCTAAAAATAACTGGGATAATAGGAAAAATAGAGCTGGGTCAGACCCCTGAGAAACTATACAACTTTGTCAACCAGGGCACTGACAAAAACATTAACTGGTACCTGGGAAGGTAACTCAGACTGCCCAGGCAGGTAGTTTAATTTGGCTGGAAGCTGCCACAAGGATATAAAAACACATCAAAACAAAGCTGGAAGTATTCAACCAATAAAGATAAAAATGGAACTCTAAGCCAGCAGGGGTGCTATTCAGGGGGCCACCCATTAATAGGGAGCTGCACTAAACAGAAGTAGATCTCTCTGTGAAGAAAACCCCAGGTACAAACACTCATATTTAATGTTCTCCAATTAGAGCTAAAAGTCTTCATACTGGCAGTACAGCAGCAAAGCTTAGGGCTATTTCCTTTCCCCTATAAACTGTAACAGCTCCTCCCCCACCCCATTACTCTGGTTCCCTTTGCCTAGGAAGAACATTCCACATGAAGCAATGTAATTTTGTGTTCAACTGACATAATTCTCCAATTTCCAACACGTTTCAGCAAATCTGCATAAATAAAAAGATTATTCTTTAAATAAGTAGCAAAAGGAAGGCTAGATATCCTTTTATGATCCATTTTCTTTTGACCATTTTTCTATTGGCACACTGGCCCTTTTCTTTTGGATTTACATAAGCCTTATAAATTATAAAAGTTAGCCATCTGCCAAATGTGTAACAAATGTTTTTTTTTCCCAATTTATCATTTAATTTTATGCTGGGGTTCATGGGTTGGGGTGGGGAGGGGAGACTTTTAATGGTTTAAACTCTTATGTTAATGGATTCATTTTTTCTAGTTCTTGAGATTTAATGCCCTGCTTATAGACTACCCACTCCAGTGTTATAAATAAATTCAAGACTATTTTATTCAAGTACATTTATGTTTTGTATTTTTTACATTCAGATCTTTGATTTATTTCAATTTTTAGCATAACATTTGATGTAGATTTTCAGGTTGGTGGTTTTGTCCACAAATGTCTAATAATTTTTTTGTATTTCCACCTATTTTTTGCACCTAGTTGAACAGCAACTTTATATTATAAAACATCAAATATATTTACATTGGCCCTCTTTTCTGTTGCATTGATCAGTGTGGCTGGAGGCTATGACAGGAGATGTTTAAAATGCAAAAACAGAGTAGAAATGCTAGAAACAATTAAAACAGTGTGGAGAGGTGTTGTTTAAATAATGCAGCTTCCTAATATTTTAATTTTAATACCTGATGGTACTCCTCCCCAACCCAATCATCTTTTTCAGAAATTTTACCAAGTACAAAAACAAAAAATTATAGTATCCATCCAAAAGGAAGAAAAGAACTCTTAAAGGAAGCTAGAAGGAAAATGGAAATATTTCTTTTGGAGTCAGGGGCCTACAGGACTACCTCTTTCTGATACTACTTTAGGTTGTTTTCCAATAAACAATTCATTATCAATAAAGAATAAATATTTAAAAGAGTGGCAGGGGCACCTGGGTGGCCAGTTGGATAAGTGTCCAACTCCTGACTTTGGCCTGATCTCACAGTTCGGGAGTTCGAGCCCCGCGTCAGGCTCTGTCCTGAGAGTGCAGATGGAGCCTGCTTGGGTTTCTGTCTCCTTCTCTCCCTCTCTGCCCCTCCGCTCCTTGCTGTCTATCTCTCCCTCAAAATAAATAAAAATTTTTATTTTTTAAAAAGTAAAAAGGGTAGCCAAATAAGCTACAATATAAGACTGGTAATACTTTAATCCCAAGAAGCAACAGGTCTGAATGTTTAGATTTCAAAGTACAAAGACTAAGTAATTAAATGTTTTGCTGTAAGTTTTTCTAGAAATTCCAGCTTCCTTAATTACATAATCTCTATGTTCTACAAAAGCTTATCTAGGGGGCTTAAAAATATCAATGTACTAATCAGTAATTAAGCTGTTTTCATTCCTATGAAAGTCTTACAAACATTTCTTAATGTTTCTCTTTATTATAGTTTCACAAAACTATAACACATGAAATCAAAAGGCTAAGTTTAGGTAAAGAGATGTAAATAGCCCACCCTAAGTAGAGTACCTTACAATTTTTTCATAAATTCTTCCAAGTACTTACTTATTAAGCAATGTATGTTATGGGAGTAACGAGAATTGTCTGGGACGGTGAAGCTGCCATCACAGATAGCAACCTGACTCTCACCAAAAGGAAGAGTGAAGAAACAAAGTTTATACAGTAAACATCCCAGGGCCTGTAAAACAAACAAGTATGAATATTGTCAGATGAAGTAATCAATCAAAAGACAAAAACACAGCCCCAAACCAAAAATGAAGTATGTTATTAAACAAAAGCCTAATGTTTCTAATACTGGATCAATCCTTTCACAAATTAAACCAATTAATGGTGTAATTAAACCAATTACAGTACTTAATTTTTTTTTTAAATATTTAACTGTATCATTTCCATATTTTTCTCTCACATCTGTGATTAGTTGGCTGGATTAATGTTATCATGAAACTCTAGATCATGAATAATATAACTAAAATTAGAAGCAGCAGGTTCCTCTTGGGAGAAAAATTATAGTTTTCTTTCACTAGGAAAAAAAAATATATTTACCACATAACTAGCATATAAATAATGAAGTCAATACAAGGCTTCTTCTAACAACAGTTTTTTAATTCAATATAAAACATGTTATAAAATCCTGGGATTCAAAGTATGAGTTAGCCAGCACAGTTAATTTTATCAAACATCAATACATTTTTATTTGACTATTCACTTAAACACGTGACATTATTTTATATCAAAAAATTAGTTCTCTACCTTTACATATAATCCTATAATTTTTATCCTAAATATACTAATCATATTTCTACTTTGCTAATCTATATTAAAAATCACAAAGGGCTCTGTCTGCTTCATTTGCATGGCTTCATAGACAGTGCAGCACCAATAAATCTGACAATGAAGACAAAACACCCTAAAACGCAAATTATATTCTAAAGAGTAGCATAGGAAATTCCCAGCTAAGCTGCTAACAGCTCAAACCTGAGAAGCAGTAATAAAATGTGATTTTCAGCTCAAGAAATCACTATGCTCTTATAAGAAGTGTCACCTACAAGCCTTAAGAGTGTAAAAGTTATTTCTGGGGTGCCTGTGTGATTCAGTAGGTTAAGTGTCTGACTCTTGATTTTGACTCAGGTCATGATCTCACAGTTTGTGAGTTCGAGCCCCACATCGGGTTCTGCACTGTTTGTGCACAGCCTGCTTAGGATTCTCTCTCCCTCTCTGCCTCTCCTCTCATTCTCTCTCTCTCTCACTGTCTCTCTCTCTCAAAATAAACTTTAAAAAAAAGTGTAAATGCTATTTCTAATTCTAAACAGACTGTAATAAAATTATCCAATAGTCAGTATACAATTATATCAGCAATACTATTGGCCTTATATCACCTCTCTTTTGTTAGATTTTCTCCACACATCAACTTATTAGCACACTCAACTAACAAACACACTACTTTTATAACTACCATGAAGATCACAATATGCAGAAGCACCTTTGTAAGTCTGACAATATTTACAAAACATTATTTTCAACACAGTCTTCCAACAAAGTCTAAATGCTTTATAAATTTTAATTCTAGAAGAGTAATTCTAGTAAGTTCAAAAACATTACTGTGACTAATGAAATGGTAAAGATTCTGAATGGAAATAACCAGTTCAATGTCACTTAAAAATATTTTTACTGCTTTTTTCTGTAAGGCAGATGTTTTCAGCATTTATATGTAGCAAACTGAGCTTAAGGCTTCCCTAACAGCACTAAAAAATACTATTAATGGTGTAATATCTGCATTAAATTACACCTTTCTACTGCCCAGATGACAGTCTATGCACAAGAGATCTGCATTTTATCCAGTTTTATCTTTTCAATCAAACTTTTAATAATGTGTCTTCTGTTAGAGTAAATGTTGTGGGAATTTCCAGATAACTATGTTAGATAGCAATGCCAGTATCCTTAAAAAATATAAATCGAAAACATAAAAAACTCTGCTTCACACAGTGTGAACACAACAAGGTGTCCTAGTTTTTTCACATCAAAGGCATTTCCCTCTATCCATCTGATACAATGAGAATTGTTCAAGAAACGGGAGGGTAAAAATGACCTGATTTTGAAGGCTTCGAATACCATCATCTTCAATTTTCCTCATTAAAAGATAACATGAAGCATCTCTCACTGAATTTCCTAATGCTTATAAAATCAGCATCCCAGTTCTCAGGATAAAAATAACCTACAATGGAAACTTCCAAGCAAAAAAAAAAAAAAAAAAAAAAAAAAAAAAAATTTCGCCAAAATATAAAGTGCTAAGTGAATACTTTAACCTCAGTATGATAACTCCCTGAATCAGTACTATGCTGAAATAGAAACACAATCTCTGACCAATATGAATTGAATAATTTTTCTAGTTATTCTTTCATTCACACTTAAAATGTTGCAAGATACTTCTGTTTCACCTGAGTGAATACAAGAAAAAAAATGGCATTATGAAAATTAAAATTCTACTTCTGTCAAGCATATAAACACAGATTCTATTTTCTGATTATTTGCTTCTTTTTTCATTTTCTTTGAGTAATCTATTTGTAACCCCATAGCTATACTTATAATTTAAGTTCTATAATTATCCATTATAGAAATATTACCCCATATCCTAATCTATAAATGGTATAAATTTTAAATTTATCACAATTTAGTATGCTGCCTGGCACACATATAAAGTCTAATGAAAAAATGAATTAAAAAAAGGATTCTCTCCTTTTTGTTAAGATATGGGGTAACAATCATGTACTTAGAGACTAATCATCTTTTCATTCAAGCCTTGATAATATCCAAACAGTAGTTAAGCTATGATGTCTGTTGTTTCCTCTGCTGTTGAAATACTCTTTTAGGTAACATGGATTTCAAAAGCAGTCACAAAATTAGATTAGGAAAAACTTCCACAATCACCTCTTCTAATACCTTCATTTTATAAATTAAAACCTGATTGGATGTGCTTTCTACATTATACTATAAACCATTTACTATAAGCCATTTAATGTTAATGCTGAGAAAAAGCAAACTGAATTTGAATTACAAGCTGGTAATCTATAAGCAGTATCAAATCAAACTTATCCATTGAGTCAACTATGTATATGGTTAAAAAGTACCACAAGATTTAAGAATCACTGGTTAAAAAAAAAAAAAGTGTACATTATGACAGATGAAAAGATATCAAAGATACTCTTTTTTTTTTTTTTTTTATTACCTTGCTAGAATATTTAGTATCCCAACTCCTACAGGAGGAGGTCAAGAGAAGAGAACCAAGGAGATATTCATTTGGTTTCACACATTATGCTTGACTACTTTCTAAATTATTATGCTTTTAAAATAAACATGATTTTTTTTTTGTAAAATCTAGAAGTATTTCCAATGGAATTTTTTTTCTACAACCTTAATACGGTCACTAGTGGTAGATATGGCTAATACTTGTTGAATTTAAATGAATTCACATTTAAAATAGAGTTTCTTGCTAATTTATGAAACAAAGCCAAAATATATTCCCTTATGAAACAAGTTCTAAAAAAGTATATGCATTCTAACAAAAAGTTCAATTATATAAAATATGATCAATCTTAATAATGCAATCCAGATATACGGTTGACCCTTGAACAACACAGGGGTGAGAGGAGTCAATACCCATGCAGTTGAAAATCCATGTGTAACTTTTGATTCCCCTAAAACTACTGATAATCTACTGTGAAGCCTTATCAATAACATACATAGTCGATTAACACATATTTTAATATGTATTATATACTGTACTCTTACAATAATATGTAACTTTTTCTTAATTTTTTCAGTATTTCTAGGCTGCCTGGTTCACCTGCAAGTTTTTTCAGATCTGTTGCAAATCTCCAAAAGGTTTCCCAATATATTTATTTTTTAAAATCTGCATATTAGAGCACCTAAGTAAGCTTCTGACTCTTGATTTTGGCTCAGATCATGATCTCAGGGTTCACACTGACAGTGCACTGACAGTGAGGTACCCTGCTAAGTATTCAGTCTCTCACCCTCTCTCTCTGTCCCTCCCCTGCTCCCGCTCTCCCTCTCTCGCTCTCAAAATAAGTAAACTTAAAAAAAAAAAAAATCAAAATCTGCAAATTAAGTTCAAATCATGTTGTTCAAGGGCCAACTGAATATGCTAAGATCTTCAATATGTAGAAATTAGTCAATGGCTTGATTTTAATTAGAAAAAAATTGACTCATGTTAGTTTCCATTAAAAAGATCTTAAAAATATTTCTAAGAATTACTTAAGATTTATGACCAGCTTTTCCATACTGCACTCAATCAAAATTACACTCAATCAAAACATGTTTACATTCATATGTAATATAAATTCTAAAAAATACTGTGGCAAAGAGTTACATTATATGGAAGTCCTTTATTTGCTTTTTTATACCTAAGCTTTCCATTTCAGGATTAAAAAGATAAAATGTTCTATTTATTTTCTTCTGTATAAGAATATACCACTTTCTTCTACTTATTATAAAATACCTTTGGGGTAACAGGGGGAAAATAACCAACTGAACTCAGATTTTTTTTTTTTTTTTTAATTTGGTTAGAGAAAATGTTAGCCTTTCTTGGCCTTACCCAGATATCAGCCTTGGTGGTGATGGGTTTCCCTCCATAAAGGTTGATCATTTCAGGGGCTCTGTATGACAGAGTTGTATACCTGGCAGTAAATAAGTGAAATGGAGTGGAGATATAAAAAAAAAAAAAAAAAAAAAAAAAAAAAAAAAAAAAAAAAAAAAAAAAATATATAGATACTACATTGTTTCTACATAAAATGCTACAGAAAACTTTTAGATTCAATAACATTATATAGAAATAATACTATTTTTAAAAAGCTCATTAAAAGTCCATCAAGATTTAACAATACAAAGCATCTATACATGTTTTATTCAACAAATGCGACAGCATCTCTAATGATATAAAAACTTAATTTTAATTAAAAATCTGAAATAAAGACAATGGATTGAAAATATAGTTTTCCTTGAATTTGTTTTAAATAATATAATTAGACTCTAAAACTACCCTAATCAAAATACTTTAGTCCATTAATTTAAAAACAAAATGTCAACCCACTCAAAAAATTATATGTTTATTAAGGAGTTTGTTTTTATGGACTCTAACATAATTCCCGGCACACAGTAGTAAATCTCCTCTAGGTCTGTTTTTATCGCTGTTGTTTTAAAAGTAATCTAGTTGCCATCATTCTAACTACATTAATTAAGAACACTTCTAGAACTGACTGCCATCATAAGCTATTTGGAATTAAAAGACACTGAATAAATCTTTACCAACATAAAAACTCTAAATCCATTATGAACAGAATATTTTAATAAAGTAGTACTCAATCTCATAGCAGAAATTATTAGACTTTGGAAGGACTACCTATATCATGGCATAATTTAATTTTGAGTGTTGATATGTTTCATTTTGTATGAAATATCTTAAGGCTCAACATCCTATCATCTTACTTTTTCGAAATTACTGACTGGTGAGAAATTCTGAATGACAACACTATGAGGAGCAACCTGCAAAACCAAAATACAAACTGCACGAGGACAGAACTTCTGTTCACTGCTATACTGCAGCACCAACAATGGTGTCCACTGCATGGTAGGCCCTGAATAAACACCTGTTAACTAAATAAATGGTTAGACCATTACCTCCTCAACTGAGCCACAAAGCACAAGAATTCCTCATGAACCTGCACTCATCACTACTACAAAATTCTACTGAACCTTAAGATCTCAGCAGTAAGAATGAAAATTCTTCAGCAGTAAGAATGAAAAGAATGAAATGAAAATTTCAGCAAGTCAGAGATCCTAAAGCAGTTATAAATCACAACCAAATAATTTTTAAATTATATATATACATACATACATATATACATACACATATGTGTATATATGTATATATGCATACATACATATATATACACACACACACATACATATACATATATATGTATACAAACATATATCCCCAAAAAGCCAATTCAGTGATTTGTTCTTGTGTTCTTCAGGACATTTATATGTTTACTAAGGAGTTAATTTTTATGGAATCTAACATAATCACCATAGGCTATATTTCCTGAGTAGAAATACATGGTCTAGAAACCCACTGTGTTATACAAATGGGCCAGGGAAAGATCAGCTCTCCTTGAGTTCTTTCAAAATGCATACTGCAGTTCAAATGATAGCTGTTAGTCTTAAACAAATGAGAAACTGTGAAGAAGAAAGGAGACCAAGAAAAAACAACTACTCAGAAATTCCTATTCTGACAGACCTTTGTGCATTCTGTATCATTTTATTAAAGTAATATAAGATTTACCTAAGATTTATAAACAGTTCTATTTTCTAAATGAGAAAACAGAAAAGGGAAAGGTCTTTATAGATACTCTAGCAACCACAGAAAGTATAAAACTAAGAAAAATAGAGCATATATGACATATTTCTACCAGAGAGCCTTCCAATACACTATTACAAAGTAACACGTTTTCCAGAGTTTTCATTGCATTAACAAGTCAATCTTCTTCATCTTAAATATAAAGCAAAAGCTTACTTTTCAAATAATTTATTATCTTCCTAATAAGAACAAGTCCTCAGTATCAGTAAAAACACAATGTTTAACTAAACTCAATAATCACTTAAAACTCCCTTTAATAATTCCACAAATTACTCAAACTTAATAAATTTCTTGATAAATACATTTACAATGTACATGAAAAACTTGTATCTATGATAAAATATATTTACTACTGAGCTACAGCAGACATAAATTAATCAATGTCTATGGCACAGAAATATTTCAAAGAAATCTATAAATGAAATACCTAAAATCTGTATTAGCAAATCTGGTCCATAGACTTAAGTTACCTAAAATTCCCATGAGACAAAGCACAATAAAGATAGAAACTTACTTTTTAATTTCTTCTTCTACTAGATTAACTCCATCTTTTTGAGGATTAAGAAACTTATTCGTGGCACTGCCAAAGTCACAAAGTACATAGTTTCCACTATCATTCAACAAAATATTTTCTACCTTCAGAAAAAATAAATAATTAGTAGTATTTTCAAAGTGAAAATTATACTTTCATAACCATGTTTTTACAAAATAAACACAAGGTTTGTGCCATATATACAGAGAGAAAGACATAAGATAAATCGTGAGGAAGGCCAAATCAATCAGACCAAAAATATACCTGACAATGTCTACTGTTTCTCCTACTGAGAACAGAGAAGTGCTCCTCCCATCCCAGGATGATTTTTGCAGGGGTCTATAAGCTCTAAATCCTTTTAAACCTCTTCTATGAAAAAGAAGAACTAGTAGCAGTTGAAGTCTAGACTGTACCTCCATTTTTCATTCTGACACTTCAGCTTATCTATAGACAAGTAACAAAAACCATTAAATTTCTACCTCTGGTTGACTCCTAATTCCATTTTTATCTAAAATGCTGCACTAACAAAACACAGTTTTGACTTTATGTGTTAACTTGGAGATCAGAGTTGTAGCAACCTGAATACACGACATGCACAGGAGAGTGTGGGTTCACATCCCAACTCTGCAATTTGCTACCATATGTCCCCTTAGACAATATGCTGAACTACTCTTGTGCTTTGATTTCCTTATCTACAAAATGGGGACGCTGACAGTATCTGTTACATGGAATTGTTGTAAAAATCGTATGAGTTAAAACACGTAAAGAGTTAGAAGAGTGGCTGAAAAAAAGTAAGCACTCAATAAATGATACTATTATTATTACATTTACCCCCATAATATTTTCTACCTTTATAATGCAGTCTTAGATGAGCTATTCAATTGCTCTCCACTCTACCAAAATACATTACAGTTTGTTTTTCTTCTATATTTCATATTTAGTCAACTTTTTAAAAGATTTATACACAACAAAGATTTGTACAAGACATCTACTTAAAACAAACATAGGTTTGCATAAATTTACACAAGTAAAACGAACTAAGCATATGAAACAGGGCCTATATAAAAGTATGCAGTTCAATGTCTTTTCTGGCTTTAAATCAAGAAGACCCAACTGGAAACATCAACTTAATATGAAAAAGGTTTACAAGCCAAAACAGCATAAAAAGACATACCAAATTATTAGGGAAAATGTAAAAGCTGCATATTCAGAAGAACTCAAATGAACTACACTCATTATCCAAATTAAAGGACAGATGTCTTCAGTCGTACATTTCAATCTTTGCCTAATTTGTAACCTGTTACACCGTAGGTTGCCCTAGATGACACTTTCATGGTTAACAATCTATATTCTACGTGACATCTTCCATTCTCTTGTATCCTAGGGGGATTTTATTATCACCTTTCATAAATTTCGTATAATCAGTCAGAATTGGGATTCATCCAATCACTAAATATTACTGAGACCTTGGCTATGTGCCAAGGTCTAAATACTAAATACCTGGATAGGAGAACCTAGCTGGCTCAGTCAGTTAAGCGTCTGACTTCGGCTCAGATCATGATCTCACAGTTTGTGAGTTCAAGTCCCGTGTAGGGCACTGGGCTGACAGCTCAGAGCCTGGAGCCTGCTTCGGAGTCTGTGTCTCCTTCAATCTCTCTGCCCCTCCCCTGCTCATGCTCTGTCTCTCTGTCTGTCTCTCTCTCTCTCTCCTTCAAAACTAAATAAGCATTAAAAAAAAAATCCCTGCCCACATGGAGCTTACATGCTAGTGGAAGAGAACAGAAAGTAAACAATCGGCACAATAAGGTGCAAGACTGAACAAATGGAGAAAGTTAATCTGAGTAGACTTGAAGCAATGTGAAAAATTAGCCATGAGATATTTGGGTATAGCGCATTTCTGGAAGAGAAGTTTTTGTAATCTTAGGGCTTGTGGGCATCTAAGAGGAAACCTATGATTTTTAAATGGTATGTGTAATGATACCTTGAGCACTATGACACTGGGAATATTCAAATCCTTTGGGGGACCTTTTCCAATGTAACAAGTGGGTGCCATATACAAGAGATCAGACTCCACAAAAAGGTAAGATAAAATGACCTTAAAGAAAATCACCTAAATATAGTAAATGATAGAAAACGATGGTAAATGGTAAATAACTGAGTACAGCGACCCATTCATGCTTGCCTCCAAAATCTCTGCAAAATACCCTGACACCTAATATGGGTTATAGGAAATAGGAGGAGAGCAGAACTGGACAGAATCATGTGGAGGGACATTCAACCTGCATCAATGACGTTCACATTTTTGCTCACATGAAACCTTTTTAAGAAGCCTACTATGTACAACAGACGCAGAGGAAGGGCCATAAAAATCTACTTCTACAGCCATACTAGAAACCCTCAGGGTCATGGAAAACACAATTTCTAGTCTATAGTCTTTACACGGCCTCAGGAAATGAACCTGGGACAGAGAGATCCTTTCAGTGCTGGTAATAAAAACTGGTATAGAGGAAGACAGTAGTCCAAGAACATTTTAATGCTAAAGTTCAAAATGTATTAATCCACAAGTAGTCTAAAATTCATACCTTCAGATCCCGGTGAATTATTGGAGTCTTACACTGATGCAATCTTGCAACAGCTTCACAGGTATCACAGAATATCTGTAACACTTCTGCTTCCGTAAAACCTGTCTGCAGCTTCTTATTCATCTGATTCACTACTTGCCCAGCTAACCAAAAAAGTAATTTTGAGAAGACATGTTTTTAGTAAATGAAGACTACCACAAAGAAATTAAGAAATGCCTTTATGGTCTCAAGTAAAGGGGAACTGGCTTTTTCATAATGCTCATGGAAGGATGCTTCCTGTACCATATCATATTGATTCAATAACATACATTTTTCATACTTTACATCTCTGAAATAAAAACATCTTAAGATAGATGATGTTCTGCTAATGCTATTGGCCTTTTATCAAGATTTTAATTAACATCTATGAAATCAAAGTATGCTTTACAATTGACGGCATCATAGATTTGAAGAAACAGTTATTCAATACTATGCTAGCTATTAGATAAACAATTGTGAGCAAAAATAAAGTTTATATTATCATGGAATTTATCAATTAAAGGCAGAGGTAAACATTAAGCAATTACATAAACACATATAATTATGTACAATAAGGCTAATATGAGAGAAACCTAAATTTAAATTGGCAAAGGAGGATGGGGAGGGGAGGGTGTCAGATGAGGCCTATCTGAGGAAGTGATATTTATGGTGAGACTGTAGCATGATTAGGAACTGACCAGGCAGAGATCTGCGAGAAAAGCATGCTAGCAACAGCAAGCAGTACGTACAAAGGCCTCCATTTTGGAAAAGAGCTTAATAATTTTGATTAACTTAAAGCCAATGTAGGTATGTATGGTCCAAAAATCTGAGAAAAGGTAAAGTGATATGAGACTGACAAGACAGCCATCAGCCATATTTTAGATTTTATCTTGAGAACCAGGGACTTCCTGATCTTTTTTTTTTTAATGTTTCTTTATCTTGAGAGAGAGTGTGCGCAAACACGCGTGAGCAGAGAAAAGGCAGAAAGAGAGGAGGAGTGAATCCCAAGCAGGCTCCATGCTGTCAGTGCAGAGCCTGATGCAGGTTCAATCTCACATTAAGACCTGAGCAGAAATCAAGAGTTGGACACTTAATCAACTGAGCCACCCAGGTGCCCACTCCAGATCTAACTTTTAAAAGGATCTTCTTGACTGGAGGGTAGGGGAAATCACAAGAGTGGAAATGGACAGATGGGTTAAGAGGCTAATGCTCTAATTCAGGTAAAAGGCAACAGGCAGAATAACTTACTAAAATCAAACAGTCATACCAATGAGCCCTGAGAGGATGATTATATATTGCATATACCACAATAATTGATAGTCTAGTGACAATTCTAAATTATTAAGAAAAAGTTGACCACCACTGAAGGACACAAGAAACACAAGTAATTAGGGGCACCTGCGTGGCTCAGTCAGTTAGGTGTTCAACTTCAGCTCATGATCTCACGGTTCATGAGTTTAAGCCCCGCGTCAGGCTCTGTGCTGACAGCACAGTCTGGAGCCTGCTTCACATTCTGTGTCTCCTCTCTCTCTTCCCTCCCCTGTTTGTGCGCCCTCTCTTTCTCTCTCTCTTTCAAAAGTAAATAAATAAACATTAAAAAAAATTTTTTTAAAGAAAAGTAATTCAGAAAGCATTGTAATGAAAATTAAGTTTGGGAATTTAAAAAGGCAAACTTAGGTTAACTTGAAACCTTCCTTTAACAAGGTTGGACAAATGAATGTTTGCTACTTTGTAATCTGCAAGAAGGTGCATATACACCTGTTCATTTAATACTACTCTCTAAACAGCATTCTCATGTATTTCCTATAATAGCAGAAAACTTTAAAGCAGAAAAAATACCAAATTTTATCTATCAATCCCCAATTTCAGAACACTAAAGTATATTTGATTGTAATTTGTTCAGGACACCTCAAGATACCTGACCAGGCAGGAATTTCCCCCATCCTCTTGTGTGTTAGACACTGAACTTGTTTTAAACAAAAATTAAACAGGATAAAAAGTGTTTTATTGATGCTCATTCACATTCTTGAAATATGTCACAGCTAAAGATATCATAATCTTAAACTCATTCTACGTCTTCCTAACTTTCAATGTTGTAATGAGTAGAAAAAAATTTGAACAAATGTTAATCTCCTTTCTCACATTCAGAGATCTTGAATCACGAAATGCAAGTCCCCAGAAAAACCTAAGAGTTGTAACTGAGCTGCATTTCAAATGTAGAAATAAGTAAAATTTCATTATTCAAAATCAAAGTCCTCTGAAGATTAAAGTAAAGGTTATTCTAATGAAAAACAAACAAACAAACAAATCAGGGGCACCTGGGTGGCTCAGTCGGTTAAGCATCAGACTTCAGCTCAGATCATGACCTCGCGGTTAGTGAGTTCGGGCCCAGCATCAGGCTCAGTGCTGACAGCTCAGAGCCTGGCGCCTGCTTTGGATTCTGTCTCCTTAGCTTGCTGCCCCTCTCTCCCTCTCTCTTTCTCTCTCTATTTCTCAAAAATAAATAAAAAATAAAACATTAAAAAAATTTTTTGAAAAACGAAAAAAATCAGATTCAGAAATCAAACGATGTATACTGAAAATCTTTTCAAACAGGATGCATATAACTCTCAAATCTTTCCATATTTTTTTCAAACAGGTATCATTTCCTAAACAAAAGCTTTTACACTCTGACCAATTTCACCATTAAAATGGAAAATTCAACATTTTTCCAACCACTTAGTCATCCAACAACCTTCTGTAAAGTGCAATCTTACATTCCACTTTAATTTTTACATGACTTGGGTTTTTTTAATAAGATAATTAAATTTTATCTGTAGTAGATTGCACCACTGGCCCCAAATCTTCAACCCTCACTTTATCCCGGCCCTTTGCCATGTAACTGCACTTCCTCCCAATAAATGGAGCAGAGAGAATACCTTGCTCTTTGATGTGGGCTCAGCCATATGACTTACTTTGGCTGAAAGAATAACGCAGAAGTGGCAGTGTGCCAATCCCAAGCCTAAGCCTTAAGAGACCTCACATCTTCCACTTGCCCTCTTGTATTTCTATTATCTCTATGAGAAAAACATCCCCCAAATAAGCTTCTAGTGCCAGGGAAAAGGATGAGAAACCTGAAACAGAGCCACTCCAACTAATCCCAGCAAACCCACTGGCATGTGAACAAGCCCAACTAAAACGAACAGTGTCATTCCACCAAGCTCAGTCTACAACAAGTGACCCACTGATACACAAGCATTAATAAATGACTGTTGTTTTATGCTGTTGAGTTTGGGGATGTTTTGTTATAAAGCAAAAGCTAACAGGTATGTTATCCGTGGGAATTTCTATAAAACACCTACAAAACAAAAAGCTCCTTTCATTAAATAATGGAAACATATTCAAAAGACCAACTCTGATTTCTGGACGTCTGGTACCTAAAGCCTGTAATTAATCTCTCTTTAACTTACACACAAGAATATTAACAAATTTAGCAGTGTCAAATCATGAACCCACAAAAATCTAACATTTCACAAAAGATGGCTGTAACAAATTGATACCTCTAACCGTGATGGTGCATATCGGCTATACAATACATTCTTCTACTTCCTACACAGTTTCATCCCTTACAAAATCAAAACCAATGTACCTGATTTTTATTCATAACACTGACTGCCTTACAAAAGTACCTTCATTCTTAAACAATTTTATGTAATACAATCAGCTTTTATAGAAGTAAGGGGAAAGTAATTATTCTCCCATTCTCTACTCTGCAACTCACTCTTCCCCCATGAAAAGAAAAAGAATTTATCTAACTGATTCATGTGAGAAAAAGGAATTGAGTATGCCCTATTCAAATCCTCTGGATTCCTTCTCTGGGATATAAAGCCCACTCAGAGGGCACATTCTCATCTATAGTGCATGCAGTACGTTTAGCTGGTAAAACATTTGAAGGAAACTTCTAACATAAAAAAGAAGGTGTAATAACAAGAGAAAAATTCAGGAAAACAAAAACACAAAGAACAGAAGAAAACTCTTTTTTAAAAACTGTAATGGGGCGCCTGGGTGGCGCAGTCGGTTAAGCGGCCGACTTCAGCCAGGTCACGATCTCGCGGTCCGTGAGTTCGAGCCCCGCGTCGGGCTCTGGGCTGATGGCTCAGAGCCTGGAGCCTGTTTCCGATTCTGTGTCTCCCTCTCTCTCTGCCCCTCCCCCGTTCATGCTCTGTCTCTCTCTGTCCCAAAAAATAAATAAACGTTGAAAAAAAAAATTAAAAAAAAAACAAAAAACTGTAATTAATAACTGCAGACAACAAATGACTTGCATCTAAAGAGCAAAGTGCATTTTAACAAAGAACAGCATTGAGAGAATAAGAGTTCTTGGAAATTAAAAATAAATAGCAGAAATACAAAATTCTATAGAGGAGCTAAAAGATACATTTAAGGAACTCCCAACACAATTAGAATTTTTAAAAAGAGAAGACAAAGAGAGGAACAGAGAAAATGAAAGAGAAAAAAACTGAGTCCCAGCAATAAAGATAGCAAAACTGACCAATAACCAAGGCAGATATACCTAAGATTTTAGAATGCTAGAGCTAAAGCAAAGATTCTAAGTGTCCATGGGAAAAAAAAGAGGTCACGTTAAAAAAAGTGAAGAATCATAATGCATGAGATTTCTCAATAGTAACAACTAGGAGAAAAATGAGATAATGCCTTCAAAATTCTAGCCCAAAATTATTTCTCAATAGTAACAACTAGGTGAAAAATGGGGATAATGCCTTCAAAATTCTAGCCCAGAATTACTTCTAACCTACAACACTTTAGCCAGCCAAATGAATAATCAAATATGGATGCAGAATAAAAATAATTCTATACAAGGTTTCAAACATGCTTCTTTCCATAATCCATTATCAGAAAGCTACTGAAAAAATGTACTCTATTCAAAGGAGGTAGGTAAAAACAAGGGAGGAAGTATGAGTAGTAGAGAGTCTAAGATAGGAAGAAGGCATAGGGAGTTCCTAGAAGCACAGCTAAATGCTATTCAAAATTAAGCAGAACTGAAGTCTCCCCAAAGGATATTTCTATGGAAGAAAAAATAAAACTGACACAAATATGTAAATGTTGAAGTATACTACATAAAGATTTGCATTTCTATTGAGGAATGTTGGGCTAAACTACTAACATATATGAAGGAAAATAGGCAATTATCAATGGGTATATTAGCTCCTGGAAAAAAATTTTAAATACAAAAACAAAAATGTTAATTACAGGCTATCACATATCACAGTTAAACAGCAAGCAAAATAATTTAAATACCGATTATTAATTTAATCTAAAAATTAAAAATTAAAATTAAAAAATTAAAAAAAAACTCTGACAGTTAAATCCTCATCTTTTCTTGGAGATATTATCTAAAACATAAAATTAGGGTGCCTGGATGACTCAGTCAGTTAAGCGTCAGACTCTTGATTCTCGGCTCAGGGCATGATCTCACAGTTTGTGGGTTCGAGCCCCATGTCAGGCTCTGTGCTGGCAGTGCACAGCCTGCTTGGGATTCTCTTGCTCTCCTTTCTCTCTTTGCCTCCCCCACTTGTGCTCTCTCTCAAAATAAATAAACTTAAAAAAACAATAATAAAAAGCAAAACATAAAACCAGAAAGAGCACTACCAAACTTTTATTCAAGAGCCTCCTCATACCCAGAATCACATACTTCTCCTGATTTTCTAAGTTCCCCCTCTCTCATACTCTAAGGATCTCATTAAAACTACACACTTTCCTCTATATAATGACGTGTAGAAATATGGAAGTGAATATGAGAAATATCTCAAGCATTTTTAAAGTGAATGCCTCTGAGGAGAGTAATGGGGCAGGAGGATACTGATTTAGCCACGGCTTAACAAAACCATTTGACTTTTTAAAACATATACGTGTACTACTTTGATAAAAATTAAAATTTCATGTGAATCAGCTTGCTGATTCAAACCAGATAAAAAAAAATTTTTAAGTTTGTAAAAAAGCAAAAAAGAATGCCTTCTTCAAAACATACCTCAGGTCATACCTCTACTTTAAAATAAAATTTGTCCCCTAAAAATTGAAGTTCATTCGGTTCTCCTTTTAAAATGTCTTCTGGATGACTATCAATTAAACTCATCCAGGGTTATGATTATGCTAGATTCAATTATCTTTAAAAAATTAGCAAAGCGCTATCTTTACAAATAACCAACAGCTACTCTATCCAGCCAAGATTTAGTACCACAAATGCTAGATAGAATTCAGGAAAGTGGAGTAAAGAACATCAACATCTTCTCCTTAAAGAGATCACAATGTTTTACAGTATGAGATATATACAAGAGAAAACAATCAGGAAAACATCTAATTTTTTATAATATATACGGAAATAATTTTTAAATATATCATAATAGATATTATAATTCTGATTCACTTCATTTTCCCCTGTCCTTCCCTCCTTACAAGACTAGAATAAATGAAACTATATTTTCTCCAACATTACCATCAGCCTACTCCTCCAACATTCAGGAAATGACAAGTGTTCATAATATCATAATTAAAAATCATATAACTGTCTTAAGAGAATCTAAATATAAGCCAAGGCTCCCTAGAACCCAAATCAGATACAGTCTGATTTAAAAAATTTTTTAAGAAGTTTGCAGAAAATGGATTAATTTCAAATTAATTTCAAATCTTCTGATATTTATAAAAGAACCCAAAAAGACGATATAACTTTATAAATATTACAGATCAAAATGCATCTAAATTTATTACATTTGATATACTGAAAGTTAATATAGAGTGCTGGAAAAAAATCTTGTAACACTAATATTGACACATTATGCTTTTCTTAGTTGGACTATAAAAGTATAGGGAGCATGATATGTAACTGCTCTTCACTCATTCAGATTTCTTGTTTTAAACACAACAGCATTTTTCCAATCGTCATTTACATGCTCATATCATCACTACAGCAATGACGACTAGATTTTAAATATTTCTTTTTTTTTTTTTTTAATGTTTATTTATTTTTGAGAGAGAGAGACAGAATGCAAGAGGGTTAGGGGCAGAGAGAGAGGGAGACACAGAATCCGAAGCAGGCTCCACCCTCTGAGCTGTCAGCACAGAGCCCGATGCGGGGCTCGAACTCATCAGCTGTGAGATCATGACCTGAGCTGAAGTCAGACGCTCAACCGACTGAGCCACCCAGGCACCCCGATTTTAAATATTTCTTAACAGCATTCCTTAAGTGGATAATTAAAGCTGAGATTACAATAAGTGTCTAGAATCAAGTGACAACTGCCCTGGGAGAAACCAAGACACCTAGTAAACCATTTTAAGGGTAACTTTTTTTTCAGTATAAAACAAATGCAGAAAAATACTTACCCCGGCAATATTCCATTAAGATAAGCACTTCCCATACATTATCACTAATTGAGTTAACAGCACAATCCAAGTAACTCACAATATTTTTGTGACCAGACAGCTCCTTCTGTGTAAAAAAAAAAAAAAAAAAAAAAAAAAAAAAAAAAAAAAGAAAAAGAAAAATTAAAAAAACATACATTGTGGGGCGCCTGGGTGGCTCAGTCGGTTAAGTGTCCGACTTCAGCTCAGGTCACGATCTCACGGTCCATGAGTTCGAGCCCCGCGTCGGGCTCTGGGCTGATGGCCCAGAGCCTGGAGCCTGCTTCTGGTTCTATGTCTCCCTCTCTCTCTGCCCCTCCCCCATTCATGCTCTGTCTCTCTCTGTCTCAAAAATAAATAAACGTTAAAAAAAAAAAAAAATTAAAAAAAAAAAACATATATTGTAAAGCTCTATTACCAATGATTTCAAGTCTAAATTAATATATTTGAAGAATTTCACAAAAGTGAATTAAGCATATGTATAGAATCTGACACAATTCAAAAAGGTTTCAGTAGTTCCAATGAAAAGTTTACTTAATGGGCGCCTGGGTGGCTCAGTTGGTTAAGTGTCCAACTTCGCCTCAGGTCATGATCTATTGAGTTGGAGCCCCACGTCAGGCTCTGTGCTGACAACTCAGAGCCTGAAGCCTGCTTGTTTCCCTCTCTCTCTTTGCCCCTCCCCCGCTCAGGCTCTGTTTCTCTTTCTCTTTCTCAAAAATAAACAAACATTGAAAAAAAATTTTAAAAAAGTTTACTTACATGTGGCTGCCATTTTCTAACAGGCAAATATTCAATGAACACTAATTTTTTTTATGTTTATTTTTTAGAGAGAGAATGAGTGAACAAGGGAGGAGCAGAGACAGAGGGAGACAGAATCTGAAGGGGGATCTGTGCTAACAGCAGAGAGCCCAATGCAGGATTCAAACTCACAAACCAGGAGATCATGACCTGAGCTGAAGTCAGATGCTTAACCACTGAGCCACGCAGGTGCCCCTTTGAACACTAATTTTTAAATTCAATCAGGAAAAAAGAGATGGTTCACTCAAAACCAAAAGTCTCCAAAATAAGTGTGCAAGATAGTCCTTTGGGACTCAAGAATAAAATATCAGAACTTTTACTATATTTATTTTTATCCAAAAAATTGTTTAAAATGAAGCTCTAATATTTATGAACTTACAATTAACTCTCATTTGTTTGTTTTGCCTACAAAATACTGTGTACCCAGCTAAGTGGACCTATGAATGTATATACTTTTAAACTAAATAACTTACAAAATGAACAACTGGCTAAAAAATTTTCTATTAAGTAACCACAGGTTAAAGATAATACTAGGGGCGCCTGGGTGGCTCAGTTGGTTAAGCGTCCGACTTCGGCTCAGGTCATGATCTCGCGGTCTGTGAGTTCAAGCCCCGCATCGGGCTCTGTGCTGACAGCTCAGAGCCTGGAGCTTGTTTCAGATTCTGTGTCTCCCTCTCTCTCTGACCCTCCCCTGTTCATGCTCTGTCTCTCTCTGTCTCAAAAATAAGTAAACATTTAAAAAAAAATTTTTAAAAAGATAATACTAATAATACAAGAAAATAAGAAAAAAATGGCAAATCTGACATTTTTGTTCATAGTACAAGATAATCATCAGCATATAATGAGGTTAAAAATAATAATCTATTTAGGTCTGTCTGTAAATTAAAAAACAATTATCAACAATACTTTTTAAAATAAATTTACATCCGGAGCAGCGCCTGGGTGGCTTAGTCGGTTGAGTGTCCGACTTTGGCTTAGGTCATGATCTCTCATGGTTGCTGGGTTCCTGGGGTTGAGCCCTGTGTCGGGCTCTGTACTGATAGCTCAGAGTCTGGAGTGTGCTTTGGATTCTGTCTGACCTCTCTCTCTGTTCCTCCCCCATTCTCACTGTCTCAAAAATAAATGAACATTAAAAAAAAATAAATTCACATCCACTATCAATAATAAACCTGGTTTTAACTGAGATATTATTTATTGAGATATTACCTAACAGTAGCTGAACATGTAATTCATAAATACATAAATATAATGGGAGATGGGTTATCAAAAAAAGTTGGATGACCACTGCTCTAATGAGCTAATCTCCCTAAATTCTCTTGTTCAAAAGCACAGAATTTGAGTGCTGCTGCTACTGATGATGACCAAATTTTACATCTCTGAAAATTACACAAATTCTATTGAAAGCAAGAATTATGGCACAATGGTACCGTATCTAGACACAAGTTAGAAAACTTAGCCTAAGAACCCCTACTATCTTGGGGTAAATCTCTTCACCCTTTTGACTAATAGCCTTTTTAAAAAGTTTTTAAAGAACAAATCTCAAAGCATAACCAAGTCTAATCTAACCAAGGAATAGGGACAATAAAAGAATCAGGTAAGTCATGTTATATAAATGTGCCTATCTTTGAATAAAAGGGATCAAAATATGTGTATTGATAAAGATGTTGATACAAAATGGGAAATCTCTCTCTTAGCAGTTGGATAAGTAGGAATGATATTAAGAAGTGTTTACAAGGATGTGGAAAAACTGGAATTCTCATACATTGCTGGTGTGACCATAAAATAGTTCAGCTGCTATGGAAAAAAATTTAGTGATCCCTAAAAAAGTTAAACACAGAATTACCATAACCCAACAATTCCACTCCTAGATATAAACCCCAAAAAACTAAAATCAGATACTCAAATAAATACATATACAAACATATTCATAGCAGCACTATTCACAACAGACTAAAGGTAGAAATGGCTCAAATGCCTATCAATGGTTTTAAAAAAGTCCATCAACAGGTGAAGAGAGAGAGAGAGAGAGAGAGAGAGAGAGAGGCAGACAAACACATACAATGGAATATTATTCAGCCATAAAAAGGAATGAAGTACTGATACACTCTACAATGTGAATGAACCTCAAAAACATGCTAAGTGAAAAAACCAGACAGAAAAGGTCACATACACAAAAATTTTATATATATGTATATATACAGCACTTGATAAACAGTGGATGAGGAAGAAGAAGAGAACAGAAGAAAAGGAGAGAAGAAAAGGAGGAGGAGGAAGAGAAAGAAGAGGTGAAGGAAGAGGAGGTGGAAAGAGAGAAGAAGTAGAGGGAGTGCGGAGGAAGATGGGGAGGAAGGGGAGGAAGAAGAGAAGAAAGAAGAGGAAGGAGAGGTGGAAGAGGGGGAGGAAAGGGAACAGGAAGACAAGGGAAAAGAAGAGGTGGAGGAAAAGGGGGGAAGAAGAGGAAGAAAAGAAGAGGAGGACTAGGGGGAGAAGGAAGAAGAGGAAAACAACAACAAGCCATCAGAGCACTGAGAATAAGACACCCTAGAAAAAAAGAAACTTTCATTTTGTAGTTTTTTAACCGTTTAACCAAATTACTGAAATTCTGTCAATAACCTATTAAAATATTTTTTACTTCTCAATATTTAAAAAAAAAATTCCCTTACTCATAAGGGAAGATATGGATATTTTACCATATATTTCAGAGTACATCAAAAAAAAAATAGTAACAACAATAAACTTTACTGCATGAATCTGAAAATGAAAAGCAGGAGCACCTGGGTGAGCATCCAACTCTTGATTTCAGCTCAGGTCACAATCTTACGGTCTTGAGATGGAGCTCATGTTCATGTGAAGCCTGCTTAAGATTCTCTCTCTCCCTCTCTCTCTGCCCCTCCCTTGCTCATGCTCACGCGTGCATGCCCCCATTCTCTCTCAAAAAAATAATAAAAAATAAAAACAAAAAGCAAAACTAATTGTTGTTGGTGAATATAAACATAAACAGTGAATGCATTAAACACCCATGGGAATAGTAAACACCAAATTCAGGACAGTGGCTTCTTTTTGGATGAGAACAGTATAGTGATATAGCTAGGAAGGAATCCACTGAAGGCTTCAACTGTACCTGTAAGATTTTAATTCTTAAGCTGGATAGTGCATAAACTGATATTCATCACATAATTCTCTAAATTTTTCTATTCTCACAACATTCCATAACTAAAATATATTTTAAAAGACGGTGGGGGAGAAAAAGTAGAGTAGTTTGCCCATCAAACTACAATAAGGAAGCAAGGAAAAAGGAGAGGAAGGGACTGGCTATATTTAGCCTTAAGTGTGTCTATAAAGAATGCATTTCAAAGGTTTTCTAGATGCACATAAACCAATAAGCAGCTTGCCAAAAAAGCTAGTTAATGTTTTAGTGCAAAACCAAAAAAAATACACCAAATTCTTACAATGGAATTACTCTTTCACTTACCATAATTGTAATTTCCCTTTTACAAATGTTGAGGTCTGGCATGTTATTGACATACATTCTCTTCAATGCATGGCGGATTCCACCATGTGTCCGCACCAGAAAAACCGTGGAGAATCCACCTAGAAGAACAAATAACGATTAATTAAAAAGACTCAGAAACTGCTATCAAATCATGGAATATCACTGGGGAGCTTAATCTCAGTGGGAAATAAATTGTACACAAGACAAAAATAACAGTAAGCAATCATTTTATTAGATTAAAAACAAAACACTGGCTTCTTATGCTAATCACAAAGGAATACATAGAGAATAACATTCATCTCAAATGAATATGCTTCTCTAAGGGTGCCTGCATGGCTCAGTCAGTTAAGAATCCGACTTCAGCTCAGGCCATGATCTTGCAGTTCATAAGTTCTGCCCCTCCCCCACTCGTTCTCTGTCTTTCTCTCTCCCAAAAATGAATAAACTTCAAAAAAAAAAAAAAAAAAAAAAAAAAAAAAAAAAAAAAAAAAAACAGAATATGCTTCCCTTTTAAAAGTTAAAATACTAAAATTCCATTTTGCCTGGGAATAGCTCTTACATAATATGTGGAAAATGTCACAACATAACTGTATTACTATATACTTTGGCACATACTAGGACTGCCTACCCACTAACCTCCCCCTCTCTGTGATAACAAAACACTGATGTTATGTGAAACATCAACAGGATCAGATGGGTGGCTCCCTCTCCAGTTCCAGGGGATGAACCAACATTGTTGTAAGGCGATAATGGGAATCTCATTTCCTGTTGTCAGTAACTGATTTAGGATGGGACATGTAACAAATTTTGCCATGGGACATAGGGAAAATTTGCTGGGGATTTTAGGGAAAGACTGTCCACCCAGAAAAAAAAAGAGAGAAAGACTTGTGAAGAAGCCCATGATCTTCCTTTGGCTTTTGGATTTTGTGGTATATGAATATGATTGTTTAGACCTACTGCAGCTATCTGTGGCAATGGCAGAAAAAAGGATCAGAGAAAAAATGACCCAGAACACTGACACAGTTAGGCTACTGAGTTAGACAACTCTAGAACTACCTCCTTCCAGAACTCTTACAATATATAAATGTCCTCATTATCTATGTCACAATTATATGGACAGTCTGTTAACTGAACTTGAGAAAGCAAATCTGAAACACATTGCTAGGTATTCTAAAGAACAATTACTTCCATCACATCTAAGCAAAGACTTCTACCTGACGTTTTTAAAACCCATCTTGGTATAAAGATTACTGTGTTGTTTAAGGTAGTTTAAAACAAAAAATGGTGCGTCACTTTTATCAATTTGATAGGCCTTATAAAGCACATCCTGAGAAATGATACAACACCTGCACTCTGATTCAATGCAAATCAGTGAAAGGAAAAGCAAACTATTGGGGATAAAATGGTAGGGGGAAAAGAGCTCCTAAGACACTCCAGAATCAGCATGAATTCAATCCAGGGTCTCCATATCCCCATCTGTAGTTACAGGAAACTGTAAGTCTCCCACCTTCTAGATTTGGGTTTCTACATATATATACAATGTAAGAGAAATAAAATCAACCAACCCACAAGGCAGTTATAAGGAGAGAAAAAGGCGGTATTTGGGAAAGATATTTCAGGTAAAAGCTCTAACAGTGCAAGGTGTTTTGTTTTTTTTGTTTTTTTTTTAAGTTCACTTAGCATTGATTTCAGATGCACACATTAACAAATTAGTAGCACTAATAAAGTGCTAAACTACTCAAATTTTATGAAAAAAATTAAAGAAAATGCTAAAAGTTAGATCTAGACACGGAAGTAGTATGAGTATAGATCAAGATAAATCATTTAAACAGCATTTGATTTTAGATATTTATCTAGAGATTACCCTAGAACAATGCTTCCCAAACATAGCTATACATAAGAATTGCCTGGTGAGCTGGTAAGAGAGACAGAGAGAAAGAGAGAGAATGAATTTATCTTTAATAGTTTTCCAAGTTCTGACCACAAGTCTGAATCAGAAAGCCTCAGTCAGGCCTAGTAAATATACTGCTAAAAATCCCCCAGCTCATTTTATTCTTCTACCTCTGTTTCGATGTTCTTATGAATATATAATAATATAAAATATAAAAATATAAAATATAAATATATAAAATAATATAAAAATATAAAATAATATAAAATAATATAATTATATAAATAATATAAATAAAATATATAATAATATAAATAAGTTATTAACCAGGGGGTGGAGAGTAGTCTCCCAGCTGTTTCTGATATACAACCTTGTTAAGTATCCACTGAACCAGAGAAAAAGTTCCTAGACAAATCATGGATCCTATATATCCATTCTCAACCACCCACAAAACAAAGTAAATTTATGCCAATGAATTAGCAAAATTAGGGAAAAACACATTAAGTTTTCTTCATAAAACCCTTGTTCCTAAAAGCTAGTTTGTTAATTTTATTCACCCAAATTAGACATAGATCTGAGCAAATGTTTTCTAACTTTCTAACATCAACTGTGGATTTATATCTAAACAAGGTAAATAATGGTCATGAATAGTGCCTGCTTTGAGAAAAGGAATAATGTATTTGCATTTCTCCAAATACTGTATTTTCCAGCATTTTCTGATTATAAGCTAATATTATTTCTGTTGGAATAATGCATGTACTAGGAAGTAACTAACTAGTTAAAACATTATAGTAACTCAAGAGAGGAGTATCATCTGCTTGCCACCAACCCATATCTACCAAATGCTTCAACACATATTTTTCCTCCAAGAAGTCTTTCATGACCAATCCAATTCATGCTCATCACTTCCTCAGAATTTTTATCTAGCGTTCTGACTATATTATCAAGTACTTCAATTCTCAACTCACTGGATACATATATCACAAGATTACTGGCAGTTACCACAAATTCCACTTACTATATATTTCTATGTCCAATTCAAAATACAGTTCAAGTCCAAGTCAAGGCACAGTTATTAAATTAATTCTATATTTTCAATTCCAAATATGGGACTAGGAGGGTACTATTAACGATTCCATATATTCTCAAAATCCCAAGAAAATAAAAGAAGTAATCACAGATACTGGTCTGGCAGAGTAAAGTAGGAAATAAATGTGTATTTATGAAAGCTAAAATTACTACTATCTTTTGTAATCTACAAATCATATAATATAGGCATTCCTTCCAATTTGTGGGTATACATTCTGAAAAGCAATGATTATTAGCCTCCCCATTTTTTTCCAGGGTAGGACACGGGGTTCACATGCTAAAACAATTCCATGAGCTTCCTAACTTAAATATCACCTATTTTGTCCCCAACCCAACACAAAAAATAATCATATTTAAATGAAGGAGTGGCTTTAAGCCAATCTAAATTTGTTTCAATTAGCAGTATTAAAATAATGACAATGTAGCTTGCACTTGACTGAATACCACCTTGGAAAGCACTGCTCTAGAGACGCCAGGTGCCCTGGGTTAACTGTTTATGAATGCAGGCATATGTTTCTACAGACGAACTTTTCCTCCTGATAAACCAGTAGTTATTCCTCCTATTAAGCCATTATTTTTCCATGTTTTCATTTATCTTACTTTTAATTTGCTGATGGTGTATATATGTATTCAGAAATGTATTCAAAAAGATAACATGGAAGAATGAAAACATGAATGATAGAACCAGTTTATTTCTTTATCTTCCCTGCACTTCCTCCGGTACAGATGTCAATTTACCAACTACAAGTACCCAAAGGAGTAGGAATTCATCAGTAACAAAATAATTCTGAGAACAGGGCTAAGAAGTCCACTGGGTTAAGCAAACAAGAAAGCAGCAAGACCTAGATATTAGATATTAGTTTTATATCGTAGTCAGCCTGAGATAAATCATAATGAACAAGCCTCCATTTGATTTCAAGTGCCAGCCACCCAGGAAATCCTCCAATTACCTTATACTCGTATTAAGTTTGTTTTTAAGGTAACTTTAATGTAGGTTTTATCCAATAAAGTTTATACAAATGTCTGGTTTCAAAACATATATATCCCTATATAAATAAAGTGCAGCATCTCCTCCCCCCCCACTTTTTTTTTTTTTTTTTTTTTTTTTTTTTTTTTTTTGGACAAAAACAGAATCCTCGGGGCACCTAGGTGGCTCAGTCAGTTAAGTGTCTGACTTCGGCCCAGGTCATGATCTCACGGTTTGTGGGTTCGAGCCCTGCATCGGGCTCTATGCTGACAGCTTAGAGCCTAGAACCTGCTTCAGACTCTGTGTCTCCCTCTCTCTCGCCCCTCCCCTCCTCATGTTTTGCCTCTGTCTCTAAAAATAAATAAACGTTGAAAAAAAAAAAATAGAATCCTCTACACGGACTACAGTAACACATGGCTTGACTCATTCTTTTTTTAAAAAAGCTGTATAGTATGCTATACCACATAAGTATTACAAATTGATCATCTCCAAACTGTTGGTCATTCAGCTTAGTCTGGCATTCTATTTATCTTTTGCCATTATTGACAATGATGCTGCATTAAACACCATTGTACAATCATTTTTAAGGACTGGTGTTTTGTTCCTGTAGCACAGATTTCCAAGGAGAGTCTAGCAAAGGAAAAACGCATTTCAAATTTGATACTGCCAGATGAAACCCTGAAAGGTTATGGCAACTTCCAGTAGCAACATTAAGAGACAGTTTTCTCACATGCTCACTAGAAGTTACTAAGACATTTAAAAGTTTGCCAACTTGAGAGAAAAAGACTCAGGGCATTGTTATTTCTATCTTGTTTTCCTCTCATTATCAAGGAAACTGAGCATCTTTACTTCTTTTTTGTTGGCCACTTACATTCCCTCTTCTGTGACTTGCCTTCCTATCATTGGTTCCTTTTTCGAAAGGGTAACCTTTTTCTTTCAATTGTAGGAAAGCATGATAAAACTCTCTTAACATACGAGAAGTACAAATATTTTCTCCTGGTCTATCATTTGTTCCATTAGGTATGTGGATGGTGTGTTTTTCAAATTTAAAAACACATGTTAAATGTTTTTATGAACAGAAAAAAACAGTATGCAGGGACAGACACCAAGCTTGGCTCAGAATCCTACAATTAAGGGAAGAAGAACAATTT